CAGCGCCTTTGAAAACACACACACGCGCCACGTCTCGCACACACCACCATGTAAAAAGGCCAGCAGCGACACGCAATCGGCCTGGACCTCAGGTGCTGGAAAGAAAGACGTCTTTAAATGACTTTTAAAGCAGTCGTTTAGGTTTTCATTAAAAGAAAAAGAAGCACACAGGAACACTCACAGTAGCAGAAACCGAGTCTCTGCGCCAAGGCTAGCAACCAGGAAGGGAAGCCTGAAGTCTTATAGGCTGAGACAGACTTGTTCTCACACACCCAAGGAAGAGACAACAGAGCACACACATGTTGTTGGAGCCTGTCATCATTCTGGCTGCTCACTAAAAAAAAAGAAAAAAAAGAAGATTATGATTATAATAAAGGATGTGTATCTGGCTTGATTTCTATCTTCAAATTAAACACAAACAAATATGGAAAATACATAAACTTTTATTTTGACAACAAACTAAACCAAAAACATCTGGTATTTTTGTATTTAGATCCTTACTTGTCAGGTAAAGTATAGAGTCGAGGACCCTGACAGTGATCTGGACAGCAGACTGAAAGTAGCTCCGATTTGACACAGGCTGAGATCCTCCTTCTAACACTGACTGACAGCTCTTCAGGGCCCTGCTCAGCGTCTCAGTGGGAACCCAAAGGAGAGGTGACAAGCTGCTATAACAAAGAGATGTTGAGGTGAATAATATGCTATTAATCACTGTGAACGACATATGTCAAACTGGAGCCAGGAAAGTAAGCAATCTCTAATATTAAACACTATTAAAATAAAAAACTAGAGAAAAAGTTTTTCTGAGAGGCAGAAAAAAGATAAAAAGGAGAGGGCTTGTGTAAGAGCACGGGTGTATGTTTGGGAATTACCTAACGGGTGAGGAGCAGAGGGCTGCCTGATGGAGAATGAGGGCCAGTCCCTGCAGAGCAGACGCACTCTGGGTGGTCTCAGGCTTAGCAGAACTGGAGTCCAAAAGCATCAGCAGCTCCTCCAGCCGACTGTTTAATGCAGCCCAAACCTTACTGTGAACACGCATGTCCACTTTGCTTAAGATAGAGACACAGACATTACTTCAATACGACATATGAGACATTTTAAAAAAAATTGTTTGAGATTTTCATGGTTATTGCCAAATAGTAAATGTTGATGCACTCACCTTGAGGATGTTTTAGTAGTTTTACCAACTGAACTGGTGGCAGATTTGCAAGACTTCTTGGCAGGTGTTGCTCCATCTTTACACTCCTGCAGCACTAAAGCTGTCTCAGCCTTCAGGGCAGCTCGGAGAAACCCTTCTGCACACTGCGAACAACAAGCATAGCACATATTGTAAAGAGGGAAACACTGTATGGATATCAAAAGGATAATTTAAAAGGAAACACAAAGAACAGAGTTGTACTTCAGCTTGATTTGCTGTCCCCACGGTGCATGCTAGTGTCCCGCAGACTTCGGTGACCCGCTGCCTCCTAAGCAACGCGGCGCTCTCATAAACTGGTGCTACAGATAGCGAGAAGCTAAACAGCAGGCAAAGTGACTCGGTCACTTCTACACCTAACTTGACACCAGCTCCAGCAAGAGTGCAAACACACTCGAACATCTGTGAGAGGTGGATGGGCTCAAAGTGTGAGTGAGAAACATACGATTGCTGAAACACGCAGCGGGTCAGGCTTAACAGCTCTCCTTCGTAAGCTTGCTTCTCATTTATGTTTGCTGTGGCAGAGTAGGAATGTGTTTCCAGCAACTGGAAGTAGGCTGCAAAGAATTCGTGGCCCTGCATCTCAGGAAATCCTCTGAGCTCCACCAGTGTTCTCAGCATCACCATGGAGGCTTTCCTCAGCCTGATGTTCCCGTTGGACAGGATGAAGCATGCAGCTTCCCAGGCTACACTCAGGTCACGACGGGAGATGACTCCCCTCAGAGACTCAGTTATGATGTTGATCGTTACGAGTGTCAGCGACTCCAAGGCAGCAGGTGAGGAGAGCACAAGGGCAGAGGGGGTGAGGTATGAGGAGGCACAGAGGGGGGATAAACTGAAGCACTTGAGGTTTATAGGCCACTGGTTCTTTGTGTGAATGTCCAAAACATGTCCCTGTCCTGCAAGTGTGCAAATATGTGCATACAGGTTATGGCTGAGTTCCTGGGACAGAAATATGAGTTCCTGAATGAGGCAATTAAAGATAAATGGTGCCCGGACTCTCAGAGTGTGAAATAAAGAGCACAACACAGCAGAGACCCGTCCATGGATGATATCACAGCCTGGAGCTGCTGCCACACGAAGGAAACGCACCGCCACCCACTTACTGAAGTCTAAAATCAAGACAAAGAATGAGAAGATATTAAAGGACTAAACTAAAAAGGCAAAACATGTTCAGCTTTATTTTCTCTAATTTCTGAAATCACTTATGGCAGCATTTTGAGAAGAATTTCCTACCAGTGCAGCTCTGTGTTGTTTCTGGGTATTCAGCAGGCTGACAGGCAGGGTTGGCAAACATCAGAGATGAAGATTTAACTATGTGCTGCACAAAGTCCAGCAGCATCACACAGGCTGGCTCTGAGGTGGACTTCTTACTTAGCCCTAAAGCAACTGGAAGAAAAGACAACTGCTTTGTTAAAAGAGCTGGTACACATACAGAGGATAAGTCAAATATTCTTGCAATATTAACTTGAAAAGTCACTAAATGATAAAAAGCTTAAAAAAGCAACACATCATGTCAAGATCTAAAGAATCTGCTGAGAAAGTCATTGACATCTATCGATCTTGAAAGGGTTACAAAACAATTTCTAAGGCTTTGAGACTCCAGTGATCCACAGCGAGAACCATGAGCCACAAATGGAGAACGCTTTTAACAGTGGAAAACCTTCCCAGGAGTGGACAGCCAACCAAAATTGCTCAGAGAGTGTATCAACAACTCATCCAGTAAGTTACAAAAGAACCACGAATAATGATCAGTGATCCCACACCCACCAGGAAGTCTTAAATGCATAAAAAAACCCCATAAAAATCAAAGTGAAAGTTCTGCAGTGGCCTAGTCAAAGTACAGGCTTAAATATAATTTAAATGCTTTGGCATGACCTTAAACAGACCGCTCATGCTTGAAAAACTTCCATTATGGCTGATGTTATGTGAAAGACTTGTTGCAACTTATCACCAACACTTGATTGCAGTTCTTCCTTTTAAGGTTGGCACAACCAGTTATTAGGTTTAGGGGGCAGTTACTTTTTCACACAGGTTTAGATAGGTTCTTTTTCCTATTTTTATCATCATCATCATCATCAATCTTTATTTATTTATTTTTAACAGGATTTTTTCAGGAATTTATAATTTGCATGTTACATTTACTTAGGCCATCTCTGTCTATTTTTAAAATTTGTCTAATGATCTAAAACATGCACGTTTGACAAATATACAAAAAAAGGGAAAAGAAATCAGCGAAGTATATTAACAAGAGGGAATAGTAGTCATGGTAAGCAACAACTTCAGGGAATGTTTCAGCAGATAAGTCTGACAGTGTGCACCAAAAAGCTGTTTGTTTGTTTTTTATTGATGTCCTTTCAGAGGCTTTTATTATGGTGACCACCCCTAGTATGTGTCGATATTCCCGGCTTACCGACATCCACATCTGTCAGTATCCTGTCGATGAACTGGCAGAGAATCTGTCGAGGTTTCTGTACCACCTGGCCGTACTCTGCAGCGCTCGCACTGCAAATATCAGCACGATGTTATTCACAGAGACATGACGAAGCAAAGGTTTTTATCGACTTCAATAAGTAAAGACGAGGACTCACTTTAGCCCAAATAAGTGGTACTGTTAACTACTTAGCTCTTAGCCAACTTTAGCCGTGTACTCACCTAGCTAGCTCCTGAAGAGCCGGTATCATCGCAGACATTTCCAGACCTTCCATTTTTAAACTTTTTGTGTCGCTGTTCGATAAAACTCTTTAATACATTAATATATAGCTCTGTCTAATCATTTTAACCAGTACACATCTCCACGTCTCCTTCTGCCTGTCAAGTCTTTCCAAAACTTTCGCTCCAAAATGACGTTTCTGTTTTGATACGGAAGCCAGCGAGGGTCTATAAGCTCAAACAAAACGCAAACTAGTAAATGCTCCCTCTGGTCGCTAAAGTAACGTTAAAGTATGTGTTTTACGGCAGGAAAATGTTTTTAAAAATTGTTAAAAAAATGTTAATAGTAAAGGTACCACAGGCCCATAGTAAAGGTCTTAAAAAGTAGGTAGGGTAAAAATATACACAACAGTGATGTTTTTTAAAGGAGAAGTAAAAAAGGTGAAATAAAAAATCTAATTGAGACTGTGCAAAAGAGTAGTGCAATTGCAGTAGTAAATAATATGTAACAAGAGGGTATAATACAAAATAGTACAATGTAAATATTTGTGAAACTGTGTATGCCTACCTACAAATGTGTTACTTAACTATTCATGAGGCATTTGTATGTATTTTGTGATTAGAATTTAATGTATATCTTAATTAAGTTGCTAAATTCAAAATTACAGTAGAATTCCTTAAATCAGTTAAATGGCATTTATATAGTACAAAGTCACAACAAAAGACACATTAAAACACTTTATATTGTAAGGTAAAGAAACTACAACAGAACAAGAGAAACACAAGTGTTTCAGTCCCTTTATTCACCATGCAGCTTTTTAAAAACACTTAAGATGTATAAGATGCTTCCCCCTATCTAAAGGGGAGACTGAAACATATTTGAAAATGGGTAATAAGTAAATAAATAAATAAATATCAAGTAATGTCAGTTTATTGTCACCTCCCATCTTTCAAGTATTTTTAACCTTAAAGTTTTTAGTTATGCTCATTTTAGAAGCTATGTAGAAAAGCCAGATTTTTGCTTTTAATGGCTTTTGATTCAATTATATTTCATGCACTTCTGAATATACATGTTATATCCAATTTGCTCTTTACTTGTGTTTTGATACAGAAAAAATTCACAGGTACTTTGTACATTTGATAGATTCTCTTTATTAATTAAATAGCAATATTCAATGCACAACATTTACAGACATAAAATGTATTTGACAGAACAGATGTGTGTATAATTCTGCTTTTTCTTCTGCCGGATCTCTGGCTCATATTGCAGAAGAAGTAAATAGAATTGGTTAAGTTTATTAAAGCAAAGAACAATCTTCCATAAAATCACGTATAAAAAAAATAATCTTTATTGATGGAAAAAGATTTACAGCTTTCTTTTCTTGCAAACGAATAATAGAGAATGCTAGACTGTTTTTGTTTTGTACGCACGGCAAGGTTAAAACTTAAAGAAAATTTTTAAAAGTAAAATACAAATATATTTTTCCATCTTCATTCAGTGTTGTTTGTGCCTACTTCAGTTTTTGGCTTTCTTCATACCATGCCCCATGAGGCAGGCAAACACAGTCATCACCATCTTGGGGTTGACCTCCACCAAATCATCAGGCAGAGCGTAGACACGAGCGCCAATCTTACGAGCCAATGAAATTGCATACCTAAGAGCAGCAAAAAAGGAGAGAGGAGTAAGGAAATTAGAAAAGAGCGAAAAATCCAAAGAGGTTGGGAGTTTAAAAACGTTTTTTTTCTTACTTGGCATTGTTGATTTTATCATCTTTCTTCAGCACTCCATTTTCTCCTCTTGCCACCACGGGGAACTTGACCATCCCCGGAGCAATTACATCAATCAGGTCAATCACTGGCAGGCTGGTGCTGATCAGCTTGTCCTGCAGAAAACAGGAAAAAGGGGTTTAAAGCACACAGTCTTTTGATATCATACCATTTCACAAACAAAGATACACACCTTGAAGCTGGTGATTTGTGTGTCCTTTCTATTCTGACTCAGCATCTTGTTGACCCAGTCCAGGATGATTTGATCTACCACCCTCTCTCCATCACCCAAATCAGACAAAACTTGAATTGTGTACCTGGCGGATTGTAAGAAGTACAGGTAACTGAAACTATACAAGGAGCAGCAGTCGCCAAAGCAAGGACTATCTGTTTTCACCAAACAATATACTACAGCAAGCAAAACATCCTGCAGCTCTGCGTGCACATACCTCCTCATCAGCTGCCAGACCAGCCCTAAGGTGTGTACACGACTCCCCTCGTTTAGATTTACTCCTCCAATTCCAACCAGGGAGAAGCGGGCGACATCCCTGCCCAGCTCCACAGCATAGTTACAGTTTTCCAGCTGGGATACAGGGAAAAAAACAAAACATCTCTCATATTTCCCACTGCTGTGCTTTTCCTGTCATTGTGACAGCTCTGCTTGTTAGCGTCTAGTACCTTCTTCATGTTGGCCCCCAGAGCAGGATAAGGAGGGCGGTTGACTTTCTTCCAGTTCACAAACACATTGACCTTATCATAAAGCTGCAGAATCACCAAGCCGTCACACAGGTCACTGGATAAAAACAATGACACAGATAATGGATTTCAATAGAAGAAGAAGGAAAAAAAAGACCACCTCTGAGAACACTTAGAGCATGTCATCTCTATTTTTGTTGAAATATGGACTTTTAGCAGCCTTAGGGGGAGTTCATGTTTTACTGTGCTTTAAAGCTAACAAATAGTAATAATTACACTTATAATTAAATAAGGGATTTATTATTTTCAATGCTGTCTGCATGAGGAAAGCGTTAAAATTTAGGATATCTAAGCCCATATCTTACTCTTGTGGAGTCTTCAGTGAAATGATAAATGAGGACATATGCTAATCCATTCTCACCCTCATTAAATGAAGCCGTGATCTTGATTTACAGCTCCATTCACCCTAAATAACTGATATGGTCAACATGATTATTTATAACTGATGACATACTGGTAAAGATGGTGCACATGTGGAGAAACACCCAGAGAGTTCATCCAGTTGCGAAATGTTTTTTCTTCTCTGGTCTCCCCTAGAATGATATGAAGACATCATACATGTTATCATACAGTTGACTTCATCTATAGTCTGGACGTCTGCCACAAACTCAAGCACCTATTATCATCTCTGGCTTATTATTGGTCTATGGCATGTATAACTAGCATAGCATTACGTCTGTTTTCTCCATGCTCATTTTATGGCTAATATGCCTCTATGTACTGTACATTTCAGCATTTTATGACTCTGTCGTGTAATTGTAAGGCCAAGATGTAGTGGTGGATGTATCTCACTCTCTATGTGCTCTAAATCGCCTCCGTTCATCAGAAGCTTCTGCAGACCGGGGTGCATGTTGAACAGGTTGGCCACAAAGGCCATGTTCAGTTTGCTGTTTCCAGATGTGACATCATGAGGAGTAACAAACTGCCTGCATTCCAGTCTGGCTGCCTGCTGCAGCATCAGCTCCGCCCTTTTCTCCAAATCCCACTCCTTCACAACAAACACACACAGAGACATGTATGCATAGAAGAACGGTATAGACGCTATGTAAATATGAGAATGTGAAGAAAACAGGTTAAAATGACAAACAGAAATGTTTATCTTTACATTTAGCTTTATTTATTAGTTTCTCATTGTTATGTGAAAAGTTTGTGGCTCACATTGAGACCGCTCATGTCAATTTTTATCCTCATTTGGAATTCATCCTCCTCACAGGAAGTGATCTGATCCATCAGGTGGAAATAGGCCCGTGAGTCCTTCGGTGGGAGAGTACAAGATGAGGTTACTGATGACTCTGTATTCACGTGTGTGTGTATTTATTCTGCACGGTACCTTGATGTCTTCGCTGAAGTTGCTGATTGTTTCCGTTCCAGCGTTGCGTAGATGATAGTTGACCCAGCGGAGCAGCAGCTCGTCAGGGGAGAGAGACATTAGGTGCTCCAGTGATTCTCCATCTGCTAGGAGGGCAATCAGACCTGAAAACACATAACAGCAGTTAATCAACTGTTAAAGCAAGAAAGAGGAAATTAATAAAAAACTGCATTTTTACCTAGAAGCAGCAAGATACTCTCAATTAAAAGTAATACAGTTGTGGTTATGCTGGTCAAAGTAAAGAAGACGCGCAAAAGAATTCACTAATTTGTTACAAAAAAAGCACAAAAAAATCAAAAATTTGTAACATATTTTTGTACCTAGAGGCTGTATGATTACAGATAATATAATATGACATATAAAAATAAAATCAAATAAAGCACCAAATGCTTACAGAATGCTTAGAGAAAAGAAACATAATCATGAACACTGTTATGGGCACTCTGTTATACAGTTTTAACCTAACAAGCTCCACTGTTTTGCCTAAACCTTTACATTTCAAACCTCTCCTGCATGAACTACATCACATATTGGTGAGCGCTGTAAAAGTGAAGTTGTGTGTTTGCATGCAGGTGTGCGCTGACCTTCGTTCCTGCTGATTTCTATGTCAGCGAAGAGGCCAATCTTGATAACCTGCCAGAGCAATCCCAGAACCAGGTGGGGCTTTCCAGCCATCAAGTCATGGGCATCCATGCTCACCACCGTACACCCGATAGCTGAGGCTGAATTCAGGGCCAAGACCAGATTCTCCTACAAACACACGTTGCATCAAGATTTTTTAATTCAAAGTCTGAAACACTCTCATGTCATACAGCAGTGTTTCTGTTGTTTTAAAAGCTCAGCGAAAATAAAGACTACAGATTGAACCCTGCAAATAATAAGAAACTAAGCAGAAATCAGCAGAAGCTGAAAATGGAACTGCTGATGGACAAATATCATCCAGGAAGACGTGTTCATGAGATATAACACAGCAGAAGAAAAAGAAGAGGACGATGCAGTAAAAAGTTAATATATTACAGGCTTTTTTGCAAAGTCCAACATTCCGGGAGAATCAGTATATTCAGAATAACACAATAACACATTTACTACCTATCGTCATCTCAGTTGACATCCATATGTTCAGTAGAGGACTTATCATGTGCCAGCTACAGTACATCTAACCGAATACATTCAGGTCTTTTAAAGTAGTCGTGTCTTAAATGAGAATTTCCCTTTACTACCTTCTTCTTTCTTTTTACTTTTTAGGTGCAGCAAAGGTCATAAGCTGGCCTCTTATAAAAAAACAACAGCAGACTCTTTTAGTCTGCACAGAATCTGGCAACCTGAGTCCGCATTTAGTTAACAAGCTGATGATATAGTTTTACAGATGCTCTCAGCTAAAATTTGGCAGAAATTGTGCAGCTATTTTTTTCTTTGCAAATAACATGGATTGGTGATATGAATATATGTATTTACCCACTCACTAAGAACTGCTACTTACTCTCATATGAAAGGTAGAGGGTTTCCTAGTGTTGATGACTCTTTCATCAATCGTGTCTGGCTGAGAATGGTTGATCATCTTGCTGAAAGAGATTTTTGTTTTTTAAACAAGTAAAAGAATGAATTGATTCTGAATCTAGTCTAAGATACCCAGATTTGAGCACTGGGTAGTCACAAGTTTGATTCCTGACCCTTTAGTGCTCCCAGTTCCCCATTTTTATATCCAGCATTTACTGTTTATGACTGCCATCTGATAGTTCACTTGCTATCTTTCGTCTGTGAAAGTGTAAAATAAAGACAAGTGTAAAATACTTGTGCAGACAAGTGTAAAATAAAGAGAAACCCACTGAGAAAATGTGAGCAGGAAGGCGCTCTGAAACACTATAAAACAATAGTAAAACAAGATTACACCGTTTCTCTTTTAACCTTTGCTACAACATAAAAGTGCAAAATAAAAATGTTTATAGAGGCGCTTATTCTTGGTTGCCTGTGTGCATGAGCTTGTGTTAATACCATAAGAGGATTCCATCACGGACAGAGGTAAAGAGGCTTTCATCATCAGGGTCCATGGGCAGCAGATGTTGGCAGTCTGGATCTTTTGCCAAAGATTTGTTGATCCAATTTACAAAAGCCACCTTCTCCTCATCTAAACACACATATAAATTTCTGCAGTAAGTAATGTAGGAGCGTAAACAATTAGCTGCTCAGCTGGTTAGTAGACTGTTTATGATGTTTATTATAATAAATTATGGTGTTAGATTGAACGGTTAAATCACAAAGATGGACTATTAACTCTCTACAGGCCTCAGGGAAGCCTTTTCCACTATTATCTGATATTTAATAGACAAAAAATAATAATTAAACAGCTAGGAAAATCGAAGGGAAGCCTACAGTTGTTTTGTGCCACCTCAAATAAACATTATCATGCTGTTACATTAAATTATAATTCATTTAATAATCTACATTACAGCCAAAAATTCAATTTTTTTCAAGGACTTCCTCTTTAGTTTTTTTTTTTTGTTTTGATATGCTGTATTTAACTAACTAACCAAGGGTTTGAGATACAGAATAGCTATAAATAAAAATTAAATAATCCGTATACTGAAAATAAATTCCTAGTAAATTAGGTCCAGTTGCTAACATTTATAAACCCTTTTATCCAGTAATAACTGATATATTATGTTTTATATAATTCTTTTAAATTAAGGATCAATTAAGGATATCTTATAAGTGGATTTAAAGACCTGCTCACACGGCCCTAAAATGAGATTTCATCAGTAATATAATATAATATAATATAATATAATATAATATAATATAATATAATATAATATAATATAATATAATATAATATATCCTTCAGAAGAGCAGTTGGTGTCATTTAAGATTTGAGGTATTTGCTTTTAGTAACATCTTTGCTTTACAAGCTGGAGCTAATCATGCACACAAAAATCGTTCACCGGTGCGATAAAATTCATCACTAACACACACGGACACGCACAAGCACGCAAACACACACAGAGCTTGCTGTCCCTCACCAGCGTAGGAATGCTGGGTTCCCTCGCTAGAGATTCCTGATGTTCCTCCAAAAGAACGAATCCCATCCCTCCGTGACACAATTTTTTTAAATGTCTCGCTGATCTGTCTACTCTTCAGGTCTTGGTAGATCTGAAAGCAAAACATGATGCATTACTTCATGTCTAATCGGGTGTGTAAACTTGTGTATTTACTCCCAGGCTGTACCAAAACTTACAGAGACAAATTCCTCAAAGCTGATCTTTCCATCTTTGTTTGTATCTCCAGCAATGAAGGTCTCGACGATCTCTCGCACCTTGTAGCCTGGAAGGGAGAAGCTTGCCTCTTTGAACAGCTCCTGAAGCTCCCATTCACTCACATAGCCGCTGTTATCAATATCTGGACACAGAGACACAGAAAATACAAAAACGGCAAATCATTTCCTTCATTAAGAATAAAGATTCATATTACAAGTTTATTATTGTAAACTTTCTTTTCTATAGATTCTAAACTTTATTGTTTCATGTGGACAAATTTCATTGCACTGGGGCTGCATGTCAGTGGCCCCTGGGCTTCTGGTTTGTTACTAAAATGAGGCAAAAACTATTTGTGGCACTTTATGGGTGCTTGTTGTTTTCACTGATGATGTCAAAACTAAGGAGCTACTGGATGGATTTCTCTCGCGTTTTGTTCAGACATTCAAGGTTCCAAGAAACATGAGTGTCAGAGATGAACTTTGACCAGGATGAACGGTGTTAGAAATAATTTTTAAATTGCTCCAAATTGCTGTTTGATGCCTTTGACCTGTTGTCCTTTGTGCTTGATATTTTTATGCCATGCAGAAATGGGAAGATAATGTCTGTTTTGTTACACCACTCATTATTATCAAGATCTTTGCAACTCTGCAGCTGTGATTGTTACTGATAAAATTTGGCACCGTTTATTACACGTGAAACACAAGTACAACACAAGCAGTAAAACTGGCTTACATAAGAGTCTTTTATTTTATGATGGCAGTAAAACTCTTACTTTGTTCAGAATTACTGTCAGTACCTTTATAGGGTCATGTTAGAGTTTGCGTGTGTGTTGTGTTTGTGTGTTTGTGTATGCATGTTCGTGGCTCTGTGCGAAACTGACCGATTTTGTTGAAGGCTTCTTTTAGATCTTCCAAGTCATCTCGGGAAATCTGTATAATGTGACTGTCCATAGTAGCTGCAGCTTTGTGCACCTGAAATACACGCCCACCACCCCAAAACACACACAACAAGGGCAGTTTTCAGCAACGGACACAAAGTCTGATCAACCTGACAACTTAACACGAGAGTTGTAACACTTTATTACTGCAAAGACATATAATTACTATACACTTTAAATCTAAATTTTAAAAAAGTAGGTTTCATTTGAACTAACATCTCTCTTTGTCCAAACTATAACTATATCAGCATCCAAAATACGTTAAAGATTCCTCATTAATCTCCGAGTCTTTGCTTAAGGGACTAAAAAGGCAAAGTGAGACAAGTCAAGGACAATTACCTTCACATTACCTGTGTTTCCCCTCTCAGTCGAGTCTCGAGCAGTAAGCCTCTCTAGTCTTCCAGAGCTCTGCAAGGTTTCAAACCGGAACAGAGAGGAAGCTGGATCGTAGAGTCACCGGAGAGCTGATTATGTCTTTTAGGAGGAGTCAGTAGGTGGAGGCACACGATGGACCTTTGGCCTGCCTGGACCCTGAGACAAGCGTCTTCTGACAGTTAACATTTAACACCTCATCCTGTTATTCTCTGTCGTGGAAGCTCAAATGTTTGCCCCTTCTGGGCCATTGATTTGCAGTCAACGCACACCTGTCTTACAGTGCATCCCAGAGTAGTGGAAGCTGAAAAAAAGGTAAACACATGCATATATAAATAAATGTTTTCCAAATGCACAGCCTGCAGTTTGACAATAGAAATATTACTTTTTTTTTTTACCCTGACTTCTCTGTTAGAGCTGACGTTTGCTTAGTGATAGATAAGCATGCTTAAATTACCTGAATAAAATTGAATACCAGTCTCAATTCACAAGACTTTTAATGTAGCATGAAGCACGAAGAAAGGACGCATGGGCAAACAGTTAGCTTGGCTTTATGCAGGCACAGTTGCCCAGCATTTCAGCTCATCCTAGTACAGAGATAATGTGGCGCACACCTTGCAAAACCATGACTTGTTGCTTTTATACTTTGGACTTTTCATCTTCAGTTTATTGATCAGATTAGAGTGATATCAAGTACTTTTAATAACTTGGAAGCTCTGTTTTATTTTATCTTTCACACATTGCTGGCTGGCCTTTTTTTTAGCAGCTATGCCTAAACTATGACTGCTACCATTGTGGCTCACATCACTAAAAATAAACATTTAACTTTTTAATGCTTTGGTTAATAAGCAGCCATTAGTTGTAGGATAGTATATAATTTTTAGTTATCCATCCATCCATCTTCATCCACTTTATCCAAGGCCGGGTCGTGGGGGCAGCAGCCTAAGCAAAGAGGCCCAGACCTCCCTCTCCCCAGCCACATCCCCCAGCCTATCCGGGGGAACACCAAGGCGTTCCCAGGCCAGCCGAGAGATATAATCTCTCCAGCGTGTCCTGGGTCTGCCCCGGGGCCTCCTCCCGGTAGGACATGCCTGGAACACCTCACCCAGGAGGCGCCCAGAGGGCATCCTTGTCAGATGCCCGAACCACCTCAGCGTCCCCTTCTTAAAGATGGGGACCACCACCCCGGTCTGCCAGTCCACGGGTACTGCCCCTGATCTCCACGCAACATTGCAGAGGCGTGTCAACCAGAAGAGCCCAACATCACTCTCATCAGCCTTCAGGAACTCGGGGTGGACCTCATCAACACCAGGGGCTCTGCCACCAAGGAATTGTTTAACTGCCTCAGTGACCTCGCCCCCGGAAATTGGCGGGACATTCCCCTCATCCCCAGACTCTGCTTCCTCCTCGGAAGATGTGTCAGTGGGACTAAGGAGGTCCTCGAAGTATTCCTTCCACCGCCTGACAATTTTCTCAGTCGAAGTCAGCAGCGCTCCGCCAGCACTATACACAGTGCAGGTAGAGCACCGCTTTCCCCTCCTGAGACGCCTGACGGTTTGCCAGAATCTCTTCGAGGCAGTCCGAAAGTCTTTTTCCATGGTCTCTCCGAACTCCTCCCACACCCGAGTTTTTGCTTCAGCCACTGCCCGAGCCGCATTCCGCTTGGCCTGTCGATACCTGTTGGCTGCCTCCGGAGTCCCACAGGCTAACCAAGCCCGATAGGACTCCTTCTTCAGCCTGGTGTCTCCCTTCACCTCTGGTGTCCACCATTTGGTTCGGGGATTACCACCACGGCAGGCACCAACCACCTTGCGGCCACAGCTCAATGCAGCAGCTTCGGCAATGGAGACGCTGAACATGGTCCATTCGGACTCAATGTCCCCAGTCTCCCTCGGAATGCTGTTGAAGCTCTGCCGGAGGTGTGCGTTGAAGATCTCGCGGACTGGGGCCTCTGCTAGACGTTCCCAGCACACCCTCACTACGCGTTTAGGTGCATCAGGTCTGTCCAGCGTCCTCCCCCGCCACCTGATCCAACTCACCACCAGATGGTGATCAGTTGACAGCTCAGCCCCTCTCTTTACCCGAGTGTCCAGAACATATGGTCGCAGGTCTGGTGATACGATTACAAAATCGATCATCGACCTATGGCCTAGAGCGTCCTGGTGCCACGTGCATTTATGGACACTCTTATGTTCGAACAAGGTGTTTGTTATGGCCAAACTGTGATTTGCACAGAAGTCCAATAACAAAACACCACTCGGGTTCAGATCAGAGAGGCCGTTCCTCCCAATCACGTCTCCAGGTCTCGCTGTCGTTACCCACGTGAGCATTGAGGTCTCCCAGCAGGACAACAGAGTCTCCAGGTGGAGCACCTTCCAGCACCGAACTGCCACTCGGCGCATAAGCGCAGATGACAGTCAGGACCCGTTCCCCGACCCTAAGGCGCCGGGAAAAACCCCAACGTACCGGCAGCAAGCCGAGGGGATAATAGAATACCCACCACCGCCCACCGCCTCTCACCAGGGGCAACTCCAGACTGAGACAGAGTCCAACCCCTCTCCAGGAGACTGGTTCCAGAGCCCAAGACATGCGTAGAGGTGAGCCCGACTATATCTAGCCGGTTTCTCTCAACCTCATGCACTAACTCAGGCTCCTTCCCCACCAGAGAGGTGACATTCCATGTCCCTATTGCCAGTCTTGGCAGCCGGGGGTCATTCCGCCAGGGCCTCCGCTCCTGGCCGCCACCCGGCACACAATGCACCCGACCCCTATGGCGCTTCCTGCGGGAGGATGGGCCCATGTCTCCTCTTCGGGCTGTGCCTGGCCGGGCCCCATGGACTAAGGCCCGGCCACCAGACGCTCGCCCTCGGGCACCCTCCCCGGGCCTGGCTCCAGGGCGGGGCCCCGGTAACCCTATCCCGGGCAAGGTAAACTGTTCCCTCGATGTTCTTTTCATTAGGGTCTTCTGAATCGCTCTTTGTCTGGTCCCTCACCCAGGACCAATTTGCCATGGGAGACCCTACCAGGGGGCAAAAGCCCCCAGACAACATAGCCCCTGGGATCCCTGGGACACACAAACCCCTCTACCACAATAAGGTAGCGATTCAAGGAGGAGATAAACATTAAATTTAGTCACATTGAAACAGCTGCACAAATCAGCATATTTATTACCAAAGGCTATTTTACAAAGCCACCAAGCATGAAGCCACACAATGAACTGAATTGTAACACATGTTTAAAAAGAAAAGAATGTGAAACGTGTGCCTAATGTTGACTATATTTTGCATTTGCAGCTGTTTTTTAAGGAGGCAGGATCACATTTAGCATTTAAGTTAGACATGTTTAAAACATGAGGCTCGCACAGCTTGCTTCATTGCCACACAATGCCTTGTAACCTGAGGCACGGAGCCAACTGCATCACCTAGATTAAAATGGTCCACGTCACAACAACACTGCTACCTCCTCCTCATTCCAACTTTATTCCACCTTTATCGTTATCTATATCTTTTTAGATCTCTGCTTTCTTTTTTATATATTAATAAATTGCTGCAGAATTTGTGAAATTTAACCTGCTATAGTCCAGTCAATGTTTTTTCATCCCGAGACACTGTGTAAAAATGACATATAAAAAAGAATGAAATAATTTGCAAAATACATTACATTAAAACTGAGAAAATTAATTGTCTTGTCAAAGGACATTTCAAAAAAGTTGGGACAGGTGTTTATCGTGCTACCAACACTGTAAGCGTTCTGAAAGCCAAATCTTCCCACTGTTACTTGCTTCATGATTTCAGCTGGGCTCAGTTTTTTCTGTTTTTCTGAGCTTACCCCATATTTCCACTGGTTTATCAGTCTGGACTATACATGTAGGCCAGTTTAGCACCCTGACTCTCACTGGGTGAGAAAATGATTGTCTGACCAAGATAACTGGATAACAGCAAATGTTGCTCCAAATATCATTCAGGATTAATCGTGTCTTTAACCTCAAGAAGCACCAATATTTAGTCAGAGGTCAAACGACCCAGCTCAGTGAAGTCTGCACTGATTCTGGATCACTTTTGATTTAGCCCCGAACTGTTTTCACTGACAAAGGATTCGGATCCCTTGCAGTGACGTCCACAACTTATACAGGGAACCGTTTTAAGATTCTCAAACAGTGAGACTCGAACAGTCTTAATGATCATGTTCAACTAGGTGCTTTTTTTAGCTTTACAAAAGTTTTCAGTCACTTGCAAATTTTTAAAAACATGTTCCTCGCTTCACATTTCAAATGAGCCTAGTGTTGGAGATAATTGCACTTCTTTAACAGTAAAATTCACTTGAGACTACTACTTGAGAATGTTGTCGCATATTGTAATTATAATGTGAGAAAAGACCAAAAATAATGAGCTTACTCCCAGTCCCATGCAGGCTGAAGGGCTTAAGATCCTGAGCAAAGCCAGAGTTGAAAATCAGCTTGCTGAGGGTCAGTTCTGTACTCCTTTCTTCCGTGTTCTCCTTTCCACACCACTTTTTTTCACCCTCTGTTTTTTTTATTAACCCTTTTCGTTCTGTCCTTGCAACCTTTTTTTTTAAAAAACTTTCCTTCTCTCCTTTTCTCTTTGTTTACCTCTGAGCTTGTTCTTCTACCATTTCTCCCATCGTATCAGTCAAAAAGACTTATACGGTGTCATAATCAGGCAGAACAAAGACAAGTTTGTACAAATCTTCCCTTCTTGACTAAGATGAACTAAATGCATTTTTATCTCTGATCACTAAGATACAGTATTTACTCCCTGCATCCACACAGACCAAGGAGTCCATCATTCTGTTTCCCCTTTGAGTCTTTTCTTCCTCTGACACTTGATCGGCCTGTTTTCACTCGGTGACTCTGATGTGCTCTCCGGTTACTCTCAGGTAAGCACTCCTCTGTCAGCTGCTGACGTATGAGCTGCTGTATTGGTTTAGTTGGTAGTGTAAAAGTGTACCAGCCATCAAAGACTTTCTCAAGGGCCTCCTGCATTATTCACTTTATCTAAAAGCACATACACAAAAAGGTGAACCAAGTAAAAGCCACACAGATATACAAAAGTACACAGAGAGACTCAAATAGCTTGGAGTTATAATACAGGGTACATTTAAAATTCAAATTATTTGCATTATTTGAGCATGCGGCTTATAGGCTGCTTTTAATTTAGCAGCTGTTATTGTTTTGCTAATGATATTAAGAGCTAC